AAGACATCTTGGCTCAAGCCGCGCGTCGCCCCCATCGGCTCCCCGCCCCCGACGCCCTCCACAGCTACACAATGGCGGCCGCCACGCCCCCTGTGCGGAGCCCGCCCGCCGACGTTGACGACGCTGCCTCTCCAAAGGGCGGCAGACACGACGTGTGGGCCGCCATCGAAGAGCAGCTCGAAGACGAGCTGCACGAGGCCCACGCCACCATGGAGCACGTGGAGCTCTTGGCCACGGCCGAGGCCGCTGCGCTGCGCCGTCGCTCCGGGCGCGCCGGCGGGCGCCAGCTCGCCTCGTGCGGTCCAGGGCAGCGCCGATTGTGCCTGCACTTCCTGAGCGGGATGGCGCGGTTGGGCCATGGGCACGTTCGACGGCAGCTTCTTCTGGGCGATGGGCACGTTCGACGGCAGCTTCACGGCGATCGCGGGCGAGGGGCCTCTCGAGGAGAACCGCCGCGTCCTCGCGAGCGCCGCGGCGGCGTGGCTCGTGGCCTCGAAGTGCGAAGGGCACGCGGCCCGGGGCCCAGCGACGGCGCTGCAGATCGTCACGCTGCACGCCTCGCAGCTCTCCGAGGCGATGGGCGGCCCCCCCATCCTCGCCGACGACGTCCGCCGGGAGGAGCTGGGGCTGCTGAAGGCCGGCCTGCCGAACCTGTATGAGCCGACGATGCTGCAGTGGATCGACCTGGTGCGCGCGCGCTTCGACGCCGTCTCCCGGCGCCGCGCCGTGGGCGTGTTCAAGGCCACGGTGCCATGGATGCACGCCGTTGCCGCCCTGGCGTTGCAGGCGAGCCCGCCGAGTGAGCAGTTCCCGCCGCGCGCGATGGTGGCGGCCACGTCAGGCCTGGCCCTCGTCGCGGCCGGCCTGCTCAGCGCGGACGCGTTGCTGCCAGCCTACATGACTGACGCGCGCTGGCAAGACGCCCTCGACCAGGTCCTGCAGGAACCGGAGGAGCGCCTCAGGCACGTCGATCCCCGTTGTTTGGAGCCGACGGTGGCACGCGCCGCTCTGGAGTACGCGACGGGCCTTACGATCGAGGAGGTGCGAAACTACGTGCCGTGCGTGGTGATGTTGGCCATCGGGGCGCGCAAAATGCAGCAGCAGCAGCAGCAGCAGGAGGAGCAGCACAAGGCGGCGAAGTAGGAGGCGCCTTTCCGCCGACCGCCCCTGGCAGCAGGGCTCCTCTCACCGCCCTGCCCGTCGTCGAACTCCGCGTTCGAGACGGACCACCCCAGCTGCCTAAACGGGCAGCCCGAGTCGCAGTGGTCCTCCTCCACCACATGATCTCATCCCCTCCGCCGCCGCCCAATGACCTCACCCGGATCCAATCGGTGCAGGACGTCTCCAACATGCTGAGTTGCGCATAGGGTTATCTTTCAGGTGTTGGGTCTGGAACCTTCTGGGGGAGTGCCCAAGCGACTATTTGTTGACGCAGATAGGTCAGTCGAACTGTTTTCCGCAGCACGAGCAGACGCAGCATCCAGCGTGCCTGACTTGCCATGCGCAGTTGGGCGACCAATGTATCCTCGAACAAGGGTTTCCTTTTTCAATGTCTGAAGCAGTTTCGGTGGGCAAGAGGACAGCTTTTAAAAGCCTCTCCTTCCCTTGCTGCGCTGACCAGGGCGGCCATGAGTGTATTCCTCCTCCTCCTCCTCCTCCTCCCCCTCCTCCTCCTCCTCCTCCTCCTCCTCTTCCCCGTTCCCAGCCCCACCCCCCGTCCCACACTGCACTGCTTGCACTCTCCTTTGGCGTGCGGCTGCTGCCGCGAATGATCGGGTCGTGGCCACGATCGCTCGGGAAGTGGCGAGGCGGGCGCTGCTGGCCCAGTCGGCTCGCTTGCGTGAGCTGGCGGCTCGGGGGGGCCCCCACTCCTCGTCCTCCTTCGCGTACTCCTCCGAGTGCTGCTGCTGCTGCTGCTGCCGCCTCTTCCTCTTCCTCGGGGCCCCCCCAGCCATTCCGTTTGGGCGAGAAGCAGATCCTGGAAGCAATCCCTGGAGATTGCCGCAAGTTTCATTGCCCAGGGACGGCGTGCTTCAAAACCAGAACCGCGGGCGAAGCCTCGGGGACAGATTTTCATGCAATTATTTATGCAATTATTATCGGTCTGCGAGTTTGAGCCGCGCCGCCGACCCCCTCGAACGCGTTGATGCCCGCGTCTCGTGGTGGGTTGGGGCCCGAGCATTCGCCCCGTGCCTGCAGAGGCTGCATGCCCTGCGAAGCTGCCTGCGAAGGCCACTCGGGGACCCACTTTTTGTTCGAGATGCGCTGACAAGGCGATCGCGATCGGTCCCCCAGAGCCATTCGAGTTTCCCCCCAGAGTCATTCGAGTTCGAGTTCTGCTCCTCCTCCTCCTCCTCCTCCTCCTCCTCCTGCCCCTCGATCCTGACAGCACCTATCCGGGGGGAGCCCACCGTTTCCAACGCGTGTATGGTGTCACGACAGCATCTCAGCAGGCTCGAACATACCGCGCAACGAGTTGTAGTTCCGGGTGTGGTCTTCCTTGCTCGGGCAACGGCTCGGCACGAGGGCCATCCATCGCGATCGGCCCGCAAAGCGGGCGACTGTGATGCCGATGTGCGCACGTGAGTTCTGAGCCGTGCGCTGTCCCAGCGCCGAAGTGAGATGTGGCCGTCCCCTCGCACGCCTGAATATCAAGTCCTTGAGTCATTTAACTGGACTTGCGCCAAACTGGTCAAAGACTCCTGCTCCTCCTCCTCTCCCTCCTTCGTCTCCTTCTCCACCTCTCCTTCCCCCTCCCCACGTCTGCTGTACGATAGCCATTGCGCATGAGCCAGCCCGAGGCCTGGACCCTTTGAAGCCTGCCCCAACCTTTTGCGGCAGTGCGCTTCAAAGCGCTTGGGCTCTACTTTGTTGCTCTATGCTACGGTTCTATGTTTATTTTCTGCCCGTGGAACTCGAGGCGGCTGATGTTTTTTCTGGCAGTGCTCCAAGCAAAAAAACATCATTGTGGCTGATGATGTGTTGTTGCAGCTTCCTCATACGTGCTTGCGTTTGGGCAGCAACGTCGCAGTTGGCACAGCTGGAAGAGGGGCGGGAGGAGGAGGAGGACGGTTGTCGCGGGCAGGGCCATTCCGAAAATAGCCCGCGGGGGAACAAAAACAGAGACCACCATCCACGGATTCGGGATCTGGCAGACCACTCGCTGGCCCCAGATGGTTCGTTAATAGGACGCTTGCACACACTCTGCCGATGGAACTGAGCTCTGCGGTGCGCTCGCAACATCACATTTTCTCCATGGTGTTCGCAGGCTCTCCGTGGCTCTCGCTTTCTTTCATGGTCTGGCAGACGTTTGCGCTTGCGTGCGTTCTCAAACTCGTTGCGGTGCTTGAAGGCCCGTGGTGTTGCTCCAAATCTATTGTGTTATTGACTCCCTATGCATTTGAGACTCTGGTGGTGATACCGTGGTACTGCCATGGACAAGGTTCGCTCGCCGTCTGGTGCCCGGAGGCGTTTCGGGACACTCAGGCGCTACGTGGTCATCGCAGGCTGTTGTGGCGCTCACACGCGCGTGCCACAAAGTGACGCTGCTCTGGAACTTTGCACTCTTGCCAGGCTGTGAGGTCTGCGCTCCGGCAGTGCAAATGCACGATTCTGCTTCTGGGCGTGCGTGCAGCTGTGACTGCAGGCCTTGGGTGTGCTGGCGCGGCGCCCGCGCCTCGGGGCGCCTGCGCCGCGGCGCCGGCAGGGTGCTCCCGAACGCCACGGAGTGCTGGCGAGCACCTCAACGTTCCGAAGAGCACCACGGTGCGATTGCGACCCGAAGACGTCGAGCGCAGCTTCCTCCTGCCGTTGCCACAGCAAGCTGCCAGCGTCGTGAGGAATACCCACTGATAGCTAGGTCTATCTAGGAATATACATGGCATCTTGATGCGAGCATAGGAGTTGGCCGTGAACATTGGAGACGGCAGAGCATTAGTAATGTAACTATCTCGGCATACAGGAATCGCTAGAGTAATTTGGAACTTGACAGCAGCCATGATCAGTAAGGAATTGCGAACAGCTCATCAGACCAAACTAGGCGTACCTAGTGCACGCTAGGAAGAGTTATTTAAGAATAGCTGGGGATTCATTCGGCTATGCCTAGGCATCCCGAGCAGGTCCCTACGTACATGCGAATCCGAGCTGTCCTTCCCTATTTCTTATCATTCCCAGACCCCGCCCGTACGAATCGTGACCTATTCCTAGTCATTCCCAGACCCCGCCCGCACGAATCGTGACCTATTCCTAGTCATTCCCAGACCCCGCCCGCACGAATCGTGACGTTGTTGGCGGCGAGGGGGCGGGGGACCGTTAACGACTGCCATTTCGAATCGTTCATAACGCGCTCTTGGATCAATCTCTGGCGGACCCCGGGCCGGGGCCCGAAGCAGGCCCCCTAAAGCCGAGATCGAGGCACAAACACCTCTGGCCGGCGCGACTCTATTCGATCCTCCCACCCCGCAGTAGCCGCCACGAAGACGACGGGTCCTGAGGAAAAGCGTCCCACAGGTCTCCCGCCGCGTTCGAGCTCAGGCCCCTCGGCTGGCCCTCGGACTGTCAAAGAACGTCCCAGGATCCAGAGCAGGTCCCCGAGGAAGGCCCCAGGACCCCATCCCCTCCTCAGGACCCGTGTCCTCCATTGTTTTGTCGGGGAAGCGCGGTCCTCTCGCCGCGCCCCCGAGGCGCGGATTTTCTGGGGGATCGACCCCCAGGCGGTGGTGGCGGAGCAGTCCGGGCCTCGCACCTCCGCTGCGCAAAGGAAGCCCTCGGGCGCGTCCAGGATCGGGGCACATCGTTCTGGAACGTTCCGGAGCGCTCTCAGAGCGAACCGGAGTGCTCAGGAAGGCCCGCTGCGCCCGATACATTCCTCTGAGCCGCCAGATCTCAGCGATCTCCGACTTCATTGTCCTAATTTGATGTCGTCCTGGTCCTGGCTTGGTCTCAGCGGTCCTCGCGCCGTGCGCACCCCCTCCGCCGCGCAGAGGAGGCCCTGTCGCGAAGGCGCTGCGCGCAGCTGGCGGAGTCCGCTGGGCTGGCGCCGTCGGGCGCGCCGCTGTGTGCCGCCCTGGCCGACATCTGCACGAGCGGCCGCTGCGACGCGGTCGCGGTGGACGCGGGGGGGGCAGCCCGCGCGTGGACGGAGGAGGCGACGACGACGACGACGACGACGACGACGACGACGACGACGACAGCGACGGCGGCGACAGCAACGGCGGCGGTGGTGGCGGCGGCGGCGGCGGCGGCGGCGGCGGCGGCGGCGGCCGCCACCGTGCTCGCCGCCGAACGCGACGACCAGGGCCTCGGAGGGGCGCGGCGGAGGGGGGCAGAGGATGGTTGCACGGATGGTGGTCGAGAGAAGCTGCAGTCTCAGGATCAGCAAAGCCACGCGCTTCCCATGTCAGCGGGAGTGTCTTGTGATGCTGGCCTTCTTTCCCAACCATCCAGTGGTGTTGGATCTTCGTTTCGAAGAGATAGCGGCCCGCGTCTTCTTTCCTCCCCTCCTCCATCCTCCCTCTTCATTCCTCTCCATACGTTTCGTGACCCCCTCCTTCGTCTCACCTGCCTCGCGATAATCACAGCTGCATGTAGTTGGATCCGTCGTCAGCATAGTTTCCGTTTTTCTGAGACATGGCCGTCGATGCCAACACATGGGATGTTTGCACGGTTCCATGCCGCCCACAGGGGGTCGACGTCGATGGATGGGGCGGTTGGATCACGCCGCATCGCCGATGCATCGGCGATTCGGTTCGATATGGAGTTAGGTTTTCTCCATGTTTACGCCGCTGGTACATCGCCGAAGTTGCCGATGCATCGCCGATGCATCGTCGATGCGGCGAGATCCCCCGACACATCTTTTCGGGCCCCAGCGTCAGCATCGTCCAACCGATCCCCGGCCCCACTGGGCCCATGATAGCTCAGCCCCGTCGGCCCCCCCCCACATCAGGTGGGGCCTGGTCCCGCGAGGCCCGAAGGGAAGCACAACACGTGTTCCCACATGGGGGGTGAGCCGTCCAGTGGGGCAGAGAACATGGCAGAGGGAATGGGGATCGGTTAAAGGATGCTCGGCATCGAAAAAGAATAGACTGCATACACATAAACTTTTGGCGGTCCGCGCGAAGTTCTTGGATCTGCGCTGGAGCGCCCTGGCGGCGCCTCAGGCGCTGCCCCTGGCGCGCTCCGCGCGCCAAAAAAACAGGATCCAGCGCGGAACCAAGACATCCGCGCGGAGCGCTGAACGTTCATGTGTTTGCCGTTTTTGGAGTTCGGTTCAGTCGGTGTGGTTGTGCCGCAGTCGGTTGTGTTCGGTCGGTTTGGTTCGATCGGGTATTTTGTCGTTGCTGCGGTTGTTGTGTCGCTGCTGCGTCGATTCGTCCTTCTAGGTTGCCTACGGCCTGTCGGTTTGGCCCGTTTTGGTTTCCTCGTCGGTCGGTCGTCGCCTGTGTTGTCGTCGCGGCTGGTTTTGGTTTCCCCAACATTCGCAAGTTCTTTGAGGTCTCCGGAAGTTCGCAGAAGTTTTCGGGGGTTGCCAGAGTTTCTCAGGTTTCGGGGTATTTTCCATTAGCCGCGCTTTGTCTATAATTTTTCGGGGGGGCCAGTGTCATCCTAACGGCCGCTGTAAACCCCAGTCATGACTTGACCGCCTAAAAGCAGGAGGGCTCTGCGATACAAGCGTCTTGACACATTTCGGCTGTTTTTTGGCCTCAGAAACTTAACGGATCGATCTGGCACGAGAGCCTTTGCCGTAGAGGTAGGGATGGAAGGATGGAAGTAGGGAGGGAATGAGGAGGAGGAGCAGGAGGATCAGGAAAGAGGGGAAGGAGGAGGAGGAGGAGGAGGAGAAGGAGAAGGAGAAGGAGAGGGGGTGAAGAGGACGAGGGGGATCCTCCTCCCCTGAAGTTGTCCGGAAGGTCTCCCGCCCCTTCCGCGTGCTGTTTTTTTTTTTCCTGTTACGCACACCGGATTTCAAACGTTGGGCTGTCTTATGATTTGTGTCACGATCCGCGTGTTTTTTGTTTTTTGTTTTTTTGTTATCATGTTTTTTCCAACATGATGCTACCGCTGCAGCATGGGCCTCTTTTTTCGGATTGGCGCTTTGCTCCCGTTGTTCAGAATGGCGCTGTCGCCTGAGCGTGGGCCACTTTTCTGGATCCGCGGCTTGCTTCATTGCGGCCCCCCCTCATTTCCCCTCCTCCGCCTTCTCCTGGTCCTCCTTGAAAAGTGGGAAACCGACCCCAGCCCCCACAACTATGGATTTTACATCTCAGCGTTTTGCAATTTACGGCGAATGAGCGTACGTGATGGCGCCCTGTCGGCGAGACCGCTGCCAGCTGCCGCTCGGGGGGCCCCGCGTGCGCGGCGACGTCGTGGGCCCGCTCGACGCGGCCGCGCCCGCGCTGGCATTCCCAGGGCCGCGCGTGCCACGGCCGCGGCATGCAGTTTGAGGCGACGGCGGCACTGTCCCTCGCACGGCAGCGCCGCTGGCCCAGCCGAGGGCTCCCGCACCCGCCTCCGTCGTCGGAGAAGTTTAGATCGGGAGCGTTTTTCTTATCGCAGCTGGTCCAATGATTTTTCCCTGTGCATATGTAAACACAGGTCTCTGTTTATATATACGATTCGGGGCTCTCCCGCGCGAGCTTTTCTGCATCGGAGAAGTTCTGATGGGTTCTATTTGGACTTTATATAAATTTTGTTTCGCCTGGTGCCTAAACTTTGCTTTGGGTGGATCTAAGCTTTTCGATGCGCGCCCGTGCGGGGCGGGGCCCGGGCGCCGCTTGGGGCTCCTGCCAGCGCCGCCAAGGGCCGACGCGCCCTCTGGTCTGTGCGCTGGCACGAGCGCGCGAATGTCAAAACTGATTCTGGGCATCGACCGTGTGCCAGCACAGGGAAACGCCATGTTCAAACGCCAGTGAGCATAGCGGCACTGCGCCGTTCGCATTGAATTGCGCGGCGTTGTCGTTGACCGACCGTCGAGCAGTTTCCGCTTGCAGTTCGCGCGTCGCTCGACGGTCCCACTGGTCTAGAGTTTTGCGCGTGGGGGACGGGGGGGGGGGGGTCATGCGTTCGCTCCTGCTCCTCCCGTTCCGCCCACCCACTCCAGTTCCTGTTGCTGCTGTTCGTTTCGCCCCAGCGCGGGCCACTGACCTGAACCCGGGTTTTTCTTCATATTTGTCTCCCCCCTCAAATCCATTCCGCCGCTTTCCCTTGGTCCTCCTCATCCTCCCAATCCGTCCGCTTCAGTTCCCGCTGCTGTTGTTCGTCATAATCCTTTTCCTCCCGCTCATTTTCCTGTTGACGCACCACTCCCATTTCCTCCTCATCCTCCGCCTCTTGTGCACGCTAGGCCCTTTCTTCCCGATTCCGCGCAACACGAGTCACTCTGTCTATAAGCGTAGTAAACTGATGTGGCACGCGTCCGCAGGTAAAGACATATCAATACCATGGGAAAAGATGGGGGGAGCGTCAGGAAGTCAGATGAAGCGCGGGCGCACCTAGCTCGTCAGACCTCCCTATCCCCCTCTTCCCTTTCCCCGGGTCGGCGCAAATATGGACTAAGGCCCGTGGAGTAGCCAGCTTGAAAACTCAAGAAATACATTCTTGGGGTTTCAATCCGACGTCGGTTCCCCCAAGTGTTTTGATAGTAAGACTACGGCTATGGACTTGAAATTTTCACTGAACATTTGGGCTTGCAAATCGAATTGCCAACTCTCTCACAAGATTTGCCCATCCGACCCAAAGTTCACACCATCATTCTTGCAGAATCGGCGCGCACTGGCGCCAAATCAGGCGATACTGGCCGTATGTTTGAGGGGTACTGTCTCCGATTCATGGATCTGGCGCGTGGGCGCCAGATCCATGGATCCGGAATCCATATGCACCCGATTCTCTCAATTTCATCCTTCCTCTCCTCCTCCGAAGCGGCGACGTTCACGACGGCGACCGACCCCGCGACCGACGGCCGGCCAACCGACGACCCGCCGACCGAGGACCGACCGACCGACGACCGACCTTCTGACGGACCGACCGACGGACGGACCGACCGACAGACCGGTCGACTGACCAGCCTACGGCGACTTGCGGGAGCTCGCCGCCTCCCCGCCCCCACGGCGGCAGGTGGTGTACCACCCGAGCGGCCGGCGCGAACCAGTAGAGCTGGCGCGCCCGGAGGAGCCGCGGGGTCGGGTGCTGTTGGAAGTGGCCCTGGCCTGGGGTGCCCTCAGCCTGTCGCTCCCCTCTGGAGCCCTTGGGGCCCTCTGGGCCTCGTGAAGGGGTGCTTCGGAGGCCGCCTGGGCCACCCCGAGAGTGCTGGGGGCACCTTGGGCCAGGGCCGCTGCTAGCAGCACCCCGCTGGGGGTGGTCCCGCGCCGCGCCGCGTGCGTGCGGCCTCGGCCCACTTCGTGGGCGAAGGAAGCTCTAGGCCTCCCACATGGAGTCCGAGCAGGTGGGGTCGAAGGATGGTCGCGCCGTATCACCGATGCATCGCCGATGCGCCTCGATGTGGAGGCTGATGTTCTCCACGCCGACGTCGCCGAGGCATCGGCGAGGCATCGGCGAGGCATCAGCGGTGCGGCGCGATCATCTGACGCCGTCTATTCGGACCCCATCCGGGAGGCCTCTAACCTGCGCCAAGACGCATGTGTGCGGCCACGGTCATTCTCGCGGGCGGCAATAACACATCCGTACCCACGGCCTTGCGGTCTGGGCCCCCTGGGCCGCGACCCCACAGGTACGGAGTATTTTTACGCGGATGCCCCGCGCAGAACGCATCCGTGCGACCGCGTATCCGCGGGAGTGCGCCCCGGAATCCAGGACATGGACACGTTCGCGGCCCGTGACCTCTGTCGGAGGTGGACCTAAACAAGCGTGACTTTTTGGAGGTCCGCATGGATTCATCGGATCCGCGCTGGGCTCCCTCTGGCGGGGCCTCCGGCTTCGCCCCTGGCGCGCTCCGCGCGCCAGCGCAAGACGAGGGGCCAGGGGACGAGGAGGAGGAGGAGGAGGAGGAGGAGGAGGAGGAGGAGGAGGAGGAGGAGTGGAGTGGAGCACACCGAAAAGTGGACGAGTGCACAAGCCCCCGCCGCCCTTGGCCGCCCGCGATCGCCGCGGGCGAAGCGGCGCGCCAAATGCGCGGCGCTGGGCCGAGGGCCCCACCGACAGGGGGACGTGGTGGGTTCAGCCCTCGGCCCAAAAGGCCAGCGGCGGGGGCTCACGCCCAGCTCGTCCGTGGCGAGGCGGCCCCGCCCCGAGGCCACGCGCAAAAGGCGACGCGCGCCACTAAAGGCAGCAGCGCCGAGAAAAAAAGCGAGAGCCGTACCCGACGCGCGCCAGGGGCGCCACATGCGCCAGGAGGCAGCAGCTAAGCCGGTAAACCGCCCTATAAGCCCGTTCTGACATTCCGAGGCCTCAGATAACGACAGTGCCGCCTCGATCAGCCACCCGAGGGGCACCACTCCCTCAGGGACAGCCCGCCCCCACGCACGCCACGGCGGGGGACCGTGACCTTGGGAAGAATGGACGGGGATCTTCCGATGAACCCCGCATAGGGGACCCGCGACACCACCCTTGCCCCAGCGGAGTACTGGGAGGGCCACGCAAGGGTGTCGCAGCAAAACGTGGCAGATCCACAACCCAGGTACGGGGCACGGAAGGAAAAGCCGCGCAATGAGACCTTGGACTGGCCCCGCCCGCCACAAGGACGAGTCGGGCACAGCCCCGAGACCCCAGGCGCGACCCTTCCCCCGCGGCGCAGGCTGGGACGGCCTGCGACTATCTTTTTTTATTTTTTTTCCGCCAGGGTCCCGAAGGAACACCTGGGGTGACGAACGCGAGGCAACCCGCCTGTTTTCCTGGGGAGGGGTCCCAGTGGCACAGGTGCCAGGAGGAGGAGGAGGAGGAGGAGGAGGAGGAGGAGGAGGAGGAGGAGCAGCAGGCAGGGGGCAGCAGGACCGGGGAGCCGCTTGGGCCGGGACCCTGCCTGCTCACCAGAGCATGGGCCGCAGCGCGCCGAGCACGTGCTCCGCGGCAGCAGTCGGCGGCGAGCAATGGGAGGAAGTGCGAAGGGGCGGACCTTCTCAGAAGGCTCGGAAGTCCCCCGGCCTTCGGAGAAGTTTCCTGAGCCTCCCCCGAAGACGCTGACCACTAATCAGATGGCCAGAGAGGGCTTCTGAGAAGCCCCGCCGCCTACTGAGGACCTTCTCCTCACTTCCCCCCGTCGCTCGCCGCCGAAGGGAGGCGGGGGAAGCGCACGCGGCCACCCAGCCGAAGCAGCTGGGCGGCATCCGCCGCCTCCCGCGCCCTGCGCAGGCAGACCGCCCACCTCCGCGGACGCCGCCCGCGAGGGCGGGCCGCGCGGAGCGGCAGCAGGCAGCCCCGCCGCGTCTTCTGCCCACGGCGCTCGCCGCTCTCGGCGCGCAATGGAGGGGGGCCGCCAGCGCGACCTCTCCCCCCTGCCCGCCTTGGTCTCGGAGCGCTGCAATTTTGACGAGGTCCCTGTGAACCGTTGCGTGGTCCGCCGTCGCCTTCGCGCTGCCCACGCTGATCGGTGGGCTGCTGAGGGCGTGGGCGCGCTGAATGATATGTATGGCAATTTTGGTCCCAGCTCTGGCGTCAGCCTCAATGCAGGTCAGCGACTGGCCCTGGACCACGTTCGCCACTGCGACCGGCGGGTCGGCCGACCTCCCCCAGACCTCGATTCAGGACAGGGAGCCCTCAGCGCGCTCCTGTCAGGCGCGCCCGGCTACACCAGTGGTGGCGGGCCCGTCGCTCTCTACGACGGCGAGAAGATCGCCTGGCCTTCCTCCTCGAGCCAGCCGATCCCGCTGGCCGATTTGCTTGGCGATGTGGACGCCTTGTGGCTTAGGGCTTAGAAGGGGCACGTGCTGCGCCCGTCCCAGGCTGCTCGGAGCCTCCGCGCGGAGTCGTGCCCTCGGGGCGCGCGCGTCGACCCGGTGCTGAAGCACAACGTTCAGGAGGGGAAAAAGCACACCGACACAATTAATCGTCGCCTCCCAGGAAAATATGGGAAAATATGGGAAGTGGGGGGGAAGACAAAAACCCAGAAAATATGGGAAAATATAGGGAATCTTTTTATTTGTGTGTATTTATTTGTGTGTCCCAGTTTCCCTTCAGACGTTCGTGAACACGCTACCCTTTTGAGAGAGGCCTGGCCCCGTGGAATGCTGACTTGGAAGCGTGGGCACAGTGGGGACCTCGGGCTGTTTTTCCTCAGGCGCAAAGATGGGCGCCTCAGGATCATCTTCGACACGGGAGTCATCAACTGCGACTTCGCGGCTGCACCTTCGACGCGCCTGCTTACTCCTTCGGCTTTCGGCGCACTCGAGGCGGACGAGAAGGTCTTCATCGCTTCGGGTGATTTGGAGGCCGCTTTTTCGACCACATGCTGGTGCCGGCCGACATGGTCCCACACTTCTCCTTGCCTAGCCTGGACGCGGGGCTGCCGCTCAACTGCGGGGTCACCGACTTGCCAGCTGGCGCGGGGAAGCCCATTGCGCCCTGTCTGCGCGTGCTGCCCATGGGGTTCTCGTGGGCCCTTCATTTGTGCCGGAGCGCCCTGCGGCGCGGCATCAGCCTCGGCGGCTTCCCGGCGAGCAGCCTCGTCGAGGACGGCCAGCCCGGTCGACAGGTGCGACGGGGGGCGCCCTTTGTGGCGGCCGGCTACGTGGACAACTTCTCTGTTCTGGGCACGGAGGCTAGCGGCGCGAACAGCCACTGCGACCGCGTGCGCCACGAGCTCGAGAAGCTGGGCCTGGTGGTGCACGACCGGGAGCCGACCAGCCACGATGCCGAGCTTCTGGGTCTGAGCCTCACGGATGGCCGTTTCTTGGCTGTCAGGCCGAAGTGCCTGGGGCGGCTCGGGCTGTCGATCGAGAAGCTCCTCCGTCCGCATTGGCAGGTGCAGCGGGGCGCTCATGAAGGCGCTGCTCGGCCACGTCACCCGGTCAGCGCTGCTCAGGCGGGAGGCCCTGTACAAGCTGCAGGCGTCGTACGCCTTCGCCGCCGAGGCCGGCAGCCAGCCGCTGGGTCTGCGGCGCTCGGTGCGTGAGGAGCTATGGCGCGTGAGGTGCCTCCTTCCTCTTTTGCAGGCCGACGTGCTCGCGCCGCGGCATGGGCGGGTGGTCGCCTCCGACGCCTCCGAGTTCGGGCTCGGGCTTGTTCGGCGCCGCCCCCCGACCGGCCGCGTCGCGGAGCTTGGGCGTCAATCCGAGCACCGAGTCGAATGGGGGGCGCGAGCCCGTGAAAGAGCACTCCGTCACCTCGACTCTTCATCACCTCCTCTTCCGAGTTTCTGTTCAACGAGATCTCCGAAGGCCCTTTCCTGAACGTCTCGCATTCGACGAGATTCCTGGAGATGTCCTGGAGGCTTCGTCTTGGGCTGGGGTTCGCGCGTCCCAGATCAACCCGCGGCGATGGCTCCGGGTGGCGCGGGCGAAGAACCGGCGCGCGCCAGGGCGCGCACGAGAGGGCCAGCAGCGGCGCCGCCGTGCCGTGCCTCGGGAAACTGTCGTGGGCAGCGGGCGCCTCTGCGCGCGCCGATCGCGCCGCGCCAGACGGAACGCGGCGATGACGACCTGAAGACCATGGTTCTCGGGGGCGTTGCGGAGGAGTAAAAGCGCGTCATGTCGTTGTCGAAGAGCGCGCCTCTGCTCAAGGGGTTCAAGGACGAGGGCTCGTACCCCGTCGCAGCGGGCAAAGGGGTCGTCGTCGCAGCCATCGAGAAACTGAGCCGCACGGCAGAGGGTCGCTACTTAAGCTCAGTTCTTCCTACGCGCGCCACCAAAAGGGCCGCGCCCGCCGAGGTCATCGCAAAGGGCGTTCACCCGCATTGCAGGGGCAGGGGGTTGAGCCTCAGGAGTCTGGGCGCGACGATTAATGCACGTGGCCCACGACGCTCTCATCGAGCCCGACGTGCGTCGGCAGCGTGGTCGCGGTCGTCGTTGTCGTCGTCGTCGTCGTCGTCGTCGTCGTCGTGGTCGCCTTTGTCGTGGTCGTCGGCTCGGGGATGTCTCGACCGAAACGTCTGGTTTCACGCGTCCAGGTTGTCCGGGCAGATGTCTAGCATGAGGGTTCGTTGAGGAGGTCTCGAGCGAAACGGTTGTTTTCGCGCGCCCAGGCTGCCCAGGCAGATGTATAGCATGGGGGGTGGTTGA